TATTAGATTTTCTGACGTGTCTGGACTATTCAGCTGACTTAATCGTGGTAAAGTCGGCGTGAGTCAAAACTCATCGAGGCTGCCGATTTTCTACACTTCGGCTAGATGACTCATGCAAACCTGCCAATAACGCCTACTAAGTGAACCTACTAGTCATGTGGTGAAATCTGGATTGAAAATCCTGCTTGGGCAGTTAGGTTAATGTATCAGACCTAGTGGATTTCATACGTAGTGGTAGGTTGGGCAAGAAACTTGATTCAAGTATAAGTAAACTCGTAGCTCCAGTCAGCGTCCCGTAGTTAAGTTGGATGTGTGTACACGCGCCTCGTTCTTGGTTTGAACCCCTGAATGCTTTTTTTTAAAACTTGGGTCAGATAAGTGTTGCATTCGACGATACGTCATAGTAACTGCAATTATGTCTTACGTGAATGCTTTTGAGAACGCTATAAACACAAAACTTTAGCAAGCTGTATGCATAGCAAACAAGTCCAATAGCTTGGCAGTAGACACAGAATACATGATATTGTAATGTGTGGGCATGCGTTAAAAATGGGATGAGGAGGAAAAAGAATAGGCGTATATTATTAACAGAGAAAATCTGGTGGTGACGTAGTTTACGTTTGATTGAATGGAGGCAAACAAGCCTAAACCAGTTCTTTATATGTATCAAATAACAGAACTGGTGTGCATTCTGAGATTACGCCATGCAACTAGAAAGCCCGTAGGAAAATAAATATTCAGTCGAACATTTTCACGTCAATGACACTAACACGTACTCAGTCAAAATAAATAATGAGAGTTAAGATTGTGACAATAGTGTTTGAGGAGGTAAACCGAAGAATAGCCATACGCCCTAGCAAGGGGTGGGGTTTACATTGTATTGTAAGGGGTGCCGAGTGTGAGCAGAGATGTTGTGAGTACCCATTTCGGCTTCATCGTTTCAGGAGGAGGAGGAGGGAATGGCGTGTTGGTGGGATTTTGCATCTCTGGGCAAGCAATCACAGCTGCTCGGAAGAAGAAGATGCGATCAGTGGAACAAGAATTTGATTTTCCTGATGTTTTGAACTCTGTCGAGAATCCTTAATCACAGCTGCTATTTTTAAGGTGGGCGCCCGTCACTGAACCGTGCGAAGAGACCCTCGTAGCGAACATTCCGTTCAACTGGGTGATTGATGCTGACCACATTGGACTGCCAAACTTCTTGGAACTTCTGCAAGCCATGGCGACCACTTCAGTACCGTCCATATTAAAACGCTGGTTACACTCTAGACCGTGCGCAAACACGAAAGATAATGGGTCACGTCAGCCAATAGCCGGCTTGGGTACGCTGATGCGAGTCTTCTTCGGAATAGAAAATGTCAGCAAACCCTAGTGATTGAAGAAGGAAAGTGTTTGTGATCCCTTAGGTTGTGTGACAGTATCGTTGTTGTCTTTCCTGACAGATCTGATGCAATCAACATAATGGAGAATCTTGACTGTGCTGACAAGGTAAATCAAGTCGTTACTGACATGGATGCGTATATCCCAGTTGCTAAGTATCCAACGAAAAGGCAGGCCGCAACTGTAAAGAAGAAGGTGCGTGATCCCACTTACTAGGCGCTCATAATTCCCATGGTCTTCAACTGAACTCTGAAATACGCCATGCGTCGTACATGCTTGCGGTCTTCCAAAGTTACGCAAAGCCGATTATCTGTTTAGGCTTGATTAGATCACCAACTTATAACCTTACCAAGTAGGTATACAAATAACTAAAACACCTCAGTATAGAATCAGCATATTTCATTCCTGCCTCCAGGGGATCCAAGGCCTAAATGTTAATCCTGATTAATGCATTCTATCATTGGATTTGGTTGCCCCGTGCTACTGGTAATGGGACGCCAACTACCACGGCTAATATGCGTGATCACAACCGACAGGATAACGATCCCGTAACTCAATAGTTAGGCTGTTGGACGCCTACCTTAAAGGGTTTGTGTTCAAGCCTCAGAGTTCGCAACAGTTGGAGTTGAGTATGGCTGGCTAATGATGGTTGATAAGCTGAAAATGGCCATTCAAGTCTCCCTTTTCTTTGTCGATAAGGTTACTCTGCCTATATTAGTAGCCACTGTGCGGCTGCTATTGGGGCTCGAGAAGAAGCCTCAAGACACAGTGGAATCTGTAAGTTCGGTCACCCGATTGATGAGCACCACACTTCCACCTTATACATGTAGGTTTAGTTAGGCACATCTTTCCTTATAGCCGTCGTAGATGGCATGAGAACACGCGTGAGAATTTGGAGATGTAAAATGACGGCTACTGGAAAGGAGTTGATGCAGTTAGTTGAACTATTTGGACGATGCGGCACAGTCACGTGCACTCTGGTGGAGCAATTTTCGGGTACGTATAGGCTAGCCGGAATTTTTTCTCCTGCTGATGACGAACTTTAACTTTTTGCCTTCTTCCTCCCCGAAACGCGTAGTGGTTGCCGCGCGGAGTCAGTCGACGTAGGAGAAGCCGATGACAGGCCCTCTTGCGCGCCCGCGACTCCTCTATGCGATTTTATCATCAGGGGTCAGAGTGGGTCGGAGTGTTGGCCCCGGCGGGTGGGGTTCACCACCAGCTGACGGTGCATTCTAACTTTTGCGGCTAGTAGCAGTAAAAAAAAACATTTGGATTAACACACTGATGTCCACCTGTTAGGGAATGGAGGTTTGCAAGGCGTGGGCATTAGTGTTGAACAAAGGATTTGGGTGCAAGGCTGTGCGGATAGGTGTACACTTTGTGCCAGGTTATAGAGGCATTTGCCTATAATTCGGCAAAAAATATTGAAGCAGGGCTTTTTTTCGCGACCCACGCACTCAGTACTTTGGCAAGCTAGAAGCGAAGAGAAGGGCGTTGACAGAAAGCAACTATGTAACACGTTTAATTTTTGAAATTCTAAACCCACTTGTATCAAATATGGATGAACTATGTGAATATCTAGATAGAAGTGGCTGATTACCTTGTGGGGGAAAATAGTAGAGCAGGAAGTTGGTAGCCCAAGAAATACGCGTGTTGTAAAACTGACCCGATGAGATAGGAGCATCACCTCCAAAAGACTGTTTAGGTTGATTTCAACTGTGTTGCAAAAACCAGTCTCAAATCTACTAACCCATAAGTGTTTAGGTATTTGAATTGGTATCCTTCCGTACAAAATCACTTTACATTCAATTTGAGAACAGAGCTTTCGACCAAATTCTTTCTGGAATATAAAAATGCGTTCTTTAGATCAAAGTACTAGAAGCGGTATTGGAAACGGGGAAACAAAAACCTACAATAGTCTTACTTTATTTTTACCAAATACGAGTACACACTCAGGCTTCGTGTATTAATTTTCGAACTAGCTTATTCGCATAACATTGGCTAAGACGCTTGATAATGAAACAATTGGATAATCGATTGCTCTGAAGTTGTTTGGCGTTTGAACGGAACTAAAGTCCGTAAAAGACGGCAGTTATATAAAGATAACTTAATTTGTCAGGCACAGCTTCGTTCCGAAAGAAAATACGAATCGAATTAAATTTTTCCTATGCAGAGAACTGCATTATATCCGTGGAATGCGGTAACAAACTGCATTTCATTGACGTACATGAACGAGTGCGAAGGTCAGATTGCTGATGTAATGTCATTCGTGGGAAGAAGGCAAAGTGTTTGACTAGGCGGGGGTCAAAACGCAAGAACTAGCCACGAAATTGTAACAGCTCGCTGGTTATCATGTATGTTCTGTGAGGGGTAGTTCGTGGATAGCCATGGGTTTGAGTTTCCTTAAATTGCGTCTATGGGGTAACTATTCGAGCGTTTAACTGAAGTAGACAAAAATGACTATTACAACGTCGTATTCATTACGAAGAGAGGAAATAAGGTTAATAAGGGTAAAGCAGTAAGGTGATTATCCAACGGATATCGAGAATTTTATTGACCTATAGAGGGTACATTATGAACATCATGGTAGTTCCTCACGTTGTGAAGAATCTGATGCAACTACCAAGACGACAATGGAACTTTACACCTCTCCCTAAAAAAATGTCCACTGGAGTATATAATCGAGAATCCGCGACTTCAAAACAGCCCAAAATACGGACCTACTTCTACGCGCGCGCTAAGAAGGCTATCACCTCAAAGTGAGTGAGAATGATTTAGAAGGCTCATTTCTTTCTCATTAGTTTCATTGAGACAATGGTTGCATTAGGTCATATAACTGACAATAATCAACAGCTAAGTCCCTCAACCTCCCAGGCAAAGGATTTGGTTGCGAAGGCCCTGAAAAACCTACATTTGTCAGAACATTAGCACGAAGACTTCCGCTGCCATATAGAGGAATGAGGAGTCGCCACGTGTGAGCACGCCTACGAGAGAATATCTGTCCGACTGACCGTAAATAGATTGGAATAATTAGTGTTCCTGACTCCTTTAGCCCGTCAGACAAGTTGAGGATCATGTCAAAAATCTCTAATTCTCAAAGTAGTGGAAAATGTGACAGAGGTGGTTCTATTATTCATTTTTCCTATATGAAAGAAAGTGGTGGATATTAGAGAAAGAAAGTTTTGGGTCAAGTCTTCCGCGTGCTAGAACTTTCTTACTGTCTGGACTAGTTTTTGTTCACGTCACGTTACAAGCGAGTTGGTTTTTGAAATAGTCCGACATTAATATGACCGTTTGTGAGCCTAAGGAGCATCCAGTACGTTTTCGTTGGAGGAGTTAGCTGGAAAGTCAGACAAGAAGGTAACAGATGAAGGCGAGGGCTTATCTGTCTGCTGGCAAAAAGTGACAGACGGTCCTACCGGAGATCAAAAAACATTAAGACACTGTGCTCGAGTGCATGAGATTACGTGCATGAACACAAAGGAGCAAGCAGGGGACTGGTGGCTCCAAAAGATGTGCAAAGGTCAGCAATTTTGCTACAAAATGCCGTTCTAAATAGGACCGCGTACTTTAGTCTGGTCGCTACATGCTACGTCATGTCTGCCAACGAAAGATGTGTCTCCTTATATGCACTTCGTTTTACTTAAGCCACACTTTGTTTATCATCTCATAGTTATTTTAGGCTGGAACTGTGAACAGTTATCCTTAAAGAGACCTCCAGGGGCTCATTTTCTGGAGCAGTTTCCAGTTTTTTCAATGAGTGCTTACTCCTGAGGTAGCTTCCGCTGCAAGTCTCTAAAGACCGCAAATGAAGTTACTGGTTGTGCTGCTTACTCTGCACAACTGCTCGAAAGAAACACCGATAACTTTGTTCTTAATATTGTATGTTTGCCTTATACTGCGCGGTCAAGAATCCTGGTAAATGTGTTGAGCAGACGAGGCATTAGGTGATTCCACTCAACTATACGCTTTCTGAACATGGCAAAGGCGTCGAAATACGCAGACTTTATTGACTTCATAGAATTTATCGACCTCTTATTCAACTGTGTACGGTCATTGACTATTAATGAGGGCAAATGAACTGTCCAGTTAAATATCGACGTAGGGGAGGCAAGTGAATCGTCATAGGTAAAAAAAGTCACAAACTGTTGGTCTGGTGTACGGGTGCCTATCGTAAGGGGGAGAGCTAGAGAGTTATCCAAGCGAGTCAGTTCACATTGAAACACGGTCGATTGATTTTATATAAATTTAAGTAAACTGGAAAGGCACTTTATAAAATTGAATTGACTAGAATGTATTTTTGAAAGTTTAAAGACGAGCTAATATGGATTCTCCAATTACTTTAAACATTCCTTTACTGACTTCGGTGGAGTACTTGCTGTTAATGTACGAGCTTTCACTCACAGTTTATATACAATAGTTTGCAACAGGTCTGTCCATGCCTTCTGAAAGTTATCTAATTTGAAAACTCTTTTCCATAGTCACAAACGTTGAAGAGTTTAAATATAACTTATCCATCATACCCGTCGTCTCTATTCAAGACTTAACTTTCCACTTCCGAATTTAGGCCTCTTGCGCCCGTCATGTCAGAAGTAGTTGAAGCCGAGACTGCTGAACGCAGATATAAGATTGTTCGTGACGAAGACGTGTGCTCCTCCAGCGGCCAAAATTCACCAGTCGTCAGGACGAGCGGTTATACTCCCCTACCCATTGCACCACCACCTAGCACCGATAACGGTAAACCGTCAACGTTGTTTTTTTAAATGAACTTGCCTTACTATCTATCTGCAGTTGTAGTGTTTTTATGACAGACTCACCAACCACGTTCTACAGCATTTATATGCAGGCGTGACATTGAAGACTAAATACGTATTCCACTATGGTTCAAAACCAATCGTATGCATACTTTTCACTTCAGAAACTATTAATCAAAGAGGAAATATCGCCTGAAATTCATGTTTATGAACATAGCATGATCATAGGACTGGGTTTAGGTGTTTGAGTTTATCTTTGCAGTACCTAAAAAGAAACTCGGACTAGAGTTCTTCCTGATTTCGCAATACGACTGACTGGAGACTGCTCTTGTGTGATCAGCCTTCGTGTTCGTCCAGTTTTTGAAGTAAAATTGGCAAAGGTAGTTTAATTATTGCACCTCATATACCCCTAGTCCCAGCATTTTGTCCTACGGAAAGTGTGGTTATAGGGGTTGCGGGGTGGGAAAGTAGTATAGGCAGCAAAGGACGTTCCCCAGTCCTTTTCGACATGTTAAGGGACACTTCGGCGGGATTAAGAACAGTCCGACGATTCTCGTCGTCGTCGTTGTCGTCGTCGTCGTCAGGGAGAAGACAAAGGTTATTGTTGTCGTTGGCTACTTGCATGGTTGCTTATGGAACGTGCGTCGAGAAATTCCACGGTCGCTTACATTTACTGACCACTTACGAGCTCCGGCGGACGGCGAGACTGAAAAGGTTTGAGGCATGTCAATTACTTCTGAAACTGTACACGAATGTAACTGCACGAAGTTAAAGTTCCATTGGTATTGTCGAGCTCTGAACATTCTTACATTGATCTCGCAAAATTGATCAATGCCTAATATCGCATGGCAGTCCGCTGGTTTTTGAACACTGCATGAGCACTGGTGTGGTCATTGTAGCCGAGAGAAAGTAATGACGGTTTGTACTACGCAGCCCTTATCTATGCTTTTTGGCCTGACGATGGTTATAAACAAATAACACCTTATTGTTCGCCTTTGCCAATAAAGCGTGTCGCCTACTTAATAATCAGGCTGGCTGATTATGGCTACTAAACCAGAAATAAGCATTCAGGTCATTCTTTGCTGGTACCCTCCTATCCGGCCAGTGAAATTCGAGCATGCTTTTATTTTCTTATTTGATAGAGCATTTGCACTTATCTGCTGAGGAAATGTGTCAAAAGAGTGGAAACAACGTTCCGCTTGTGGATTCATTTGTTATCAGAGACGGATGCAGACTTCTGAATGTTATCTTCAACTGAAAGTTTACAGATTTAGATTTAAAAAATTCGTCGCATCCTCTTCAAATTAAGCAGAATGCAAATAAAGTCCGCTGTCCGAAATTGACATACGAACTTCACGCTCTTTGTTCTTTTACAATATTACATGCCACATACATGGTTCATATCTACTTAAGGCGAAAAGTATCGGTCAATTCAAGCATATCACAACAACGTCGCCCCTCTAGTTTGTCATTATAGGTACTGGTACTGCTCCAGAAAATTAAAGGTCGTCCTCTCTATTCTTGTCTTCTCTTCCAGCTAAACGGGACGATGCTTGTTCTCCAATAAACTGTCCCCAAGACAATGCAAAGAGGTCAGTGTCTGTAGGGACTTCAGACTTTGACAGGGTTGCCGGTAAACCTCCAACATCCGTCAGAGACCCTCTTCAGCAGCCGTCCGGTCAAGAGAGCATCGCAAAGCGCCTTCCCATGGTGAGCTAAGTCCTCTGTGTGCGTATGTGGTTAAAAGTCCCCAGACTCGTGAGCGCACTTAAGGTTAAATGCAATTCGCAGAAACAGTGGACTTTATGTGCGCATCAGGTGTGGTATTCCTTTGGCCAAAGTGCTTTCCGGACCGACGGAGTAAGGTAGAAAATTGGTGCTCTCTGTGGCAATCTAAAATGGTCTAGAGACCAGCTTGTTTGTGTTTCGTCCCCCTTTGCACCCTCTGCTAGAACGATAGTTTG